GGGGCCTCTTGGAGGGCTTTTTCGGGGTCTTGGGTGGGGGAGGTCTCTTGGTGGCCTCTCGGGCCGTTTTGGATTTGCAGAATCCCGAAGAAGCGATAACGCGAAAACGTTTGAACAAAACCATTGCGCATCAGCTGTCTTTCTTTGCCTTTCATGCCCTCTTTGTGCTCCACTTGGGCACCAAACGAAGCGATGCATATGTTTGTTAGGTGTTCTGCATCTGGAAGTAGATTTTGTTAGTTTGGCATTCGTTTTTTTGTGTTGCTGCTGTTTTTTTCTGGGCCTGGGCCCCCTCGTCCAGGTGGAGCGACTCCCTGGGGAACGGAGGCGGAGTCCTGGATTAACCAACAACGCCAACCACACAACACCCAAGGAACTAAACACCGCACATCCGATGCAGCTCCCCCCTGAAAGCAAGCAACGCTGTTGCCCATGGTCAAGACGAGTATGCGCGGCGCCAGGGCAAGAGCACCGTTTTCGGACCATCCTTGCACGTGTTTCGAGTTACTACGTCGAATACGGGCGGCGCTGCGGCAGTAGCCCCATTCTGAGGATGTCCCGCTCTCCGTCCGTGAGACTGCTGCACATCTTCTGCACTCCTGGCAGTATTGGCGGAGGACGTCTCGAGCCGCAACTCGCAGACGCACCCGGGCTCCACCCGTGCAGATGCGTCGACACAAATGCCACGAATGTGCGCGGCGCTTTGGCGAGAGGCTCTTTTTTGAAACGTACGGGTCTCCATCCCTGCATGTCTTGCAAGTTGGTGAGACCAAGTGGGGTGGCGCTAAGGCAGCAGCCCAATTTTGAAGAGGGTCCGGTCTCCGGCATGGTAGCTGTTGGAAGCTTTTGAGGCGGGTGTGCTCGGCGTTCAGGCGAGATCCACATTTTGAAAACCACCTGCCCTCCATCCGCGTAGCCGTGATAACTTATCACGAAAGAATGTGCGCGGCGCTCAGGTGAGAGCGGCATCTTGAAAACCACCAGCCATTCATCCGTCTAAAGGTTTGAATTTTGAAAAACACATTTGCGTGGCGCTCCGGCGAGGGCAACAGTTTGAGGGCCACGTGGCCCTGAATCCGTGTAACTGCAATATCAACATTTCACGAGGGAAGTGCGCGGCGCTACGGCGAGAGTCACACTTTGAAGGCCACTGGCCCTTCAGCCTCCACCCGTTTTTTCTTGTTTGTGTAAAATCCGAAATTTGTTTGTTCTTCTTCCCTTTTGTACACTACATGGCGCACCAGGCTAAAGCGAAGCGCCCAGGCCGGCCCACGGACACGTCCGGGGGTGCGGTAGGGAGAAATTAACTCATGAGGGTGCTCGGTGCAGGATGAAGGATGAGAGGAGGACGAGGGGGAGGAGGAGGAGGAGGAGGAGGAGGAGGAGGAGGAGGAGGAGGAGGAGGAGGAGACGGTGGTGACAACGATGAGGATGACGATGCTGTTGGTGCTGATGTTCCCGCTCCTGCGAACACGCGCTCCTCGCAAAGCCGCCGCAAGCCGCCCTAGGCCCGCCACCCCTCCGGGCGCGGCTGCCCTGGCCAGCGCACGTCACGAGCGGGAGCGAGCCTCACCGCTCTGGTCCCGCGCGGGAGCAGCCCTCACCGCGCCGGCCTCGCCTCGCGCTCAGCGCCGTGAGGGGCTGCGCCGGCGCCTGCTGCGCAGCGCCTCGGACTCCCCCAGCCAGCCTGGCTTCGTCGGGTGCAGCCCGCGCCGCAGGCGGCCTGTTGGCGCGAATGCTGCTGCTAACGATAATGTCGACGAGGGTTACGAGGATGATGAGGATGAGGATGAGGATGAGGATGATGAAGTTGAGGATGAGAGGAGGATGTTGATGGTGATGATGCTGATGATGATGATGATGATGCTGATGCTGATGCTGGTGATGAGGATGAGGATGATGATGAGGATGAGGATGAGGATGGTGACGGTGACGGTGACGGTGACGGTGACGGTGACGGTGATGGTAATGGTGATGGTGATGATGATGGTGGTGATGATGATGCTGATGATGCGGATGATGATGATGATGATGATGATGATGATGATGATGATGATGATGATGAACGAGGATGATGAGGATGATGGTGATGGTGATGGTGATGATGATGGTGATGATGATGCGGAGGTGGAGGAGGAGGAGGAGGATGCAAGATCGCAATGAGAAGACGGTGAGGATGAGGATGAGGATGAGGATGAGGAGCAGGATTAGGATGAGGGTGATGAGGATGATGAGGATGATGATGATGACGACGATGATGATAATGATGATGGTGATGCTGATGATGATGATTGTGGTGGTGGTGGTGTTGAGGATGATGATGATGATGATGATGATGGTGATGATGCTGATGATGATGATGATGCTGATGCTGATGCTGGTGATGATGATGAGGATGATGATGAGGATGAGGATGAGGATGGTGACGGTGACGGTGACGGTGACGGTGACGGTGATGGTGATGGTAATGGTGATGGTGATGATGATGGTGGTGATGATGATGCTGATGATGCGGATGATGATGATGATGATGATGATGATGATGATGATGATGATGATGATGATGATGATGATGAACGAGGATGATGAGGATGATGGTGATGGTGATGGTGATGATGATGGTGATGATGATGCGGAGGTGGAGGAGGAGGAGGAGGATGCAAGATCGCAATGAGAAGACGGTGAGGATGAGGATGAGGATGAGGATGAGGAGCAGGATGAGGATGAGGGTGATGAGGATGATGAGGATGATGATGATGACGACGATGATGATAATGATGATGGTGATGCTGATGATGATGATTGTGGTGGTGGTGGTGGTGGTGTTGAGGATGATGATGATGATGATGATGATGATGATGATGATGATGATGTTGATTCTGATGATGATGATGACCGCGCTGATGCTGCTGCGGATGATGCTGCTGATGATGCTGATGATGATGATGCTGATGCTGATGCTGATTCTGATGCTGATGCTGATGATGATGATGATGATGATGATGATGATGATGCTGATGATGATGATGTTGATGGCGATGATGGTGATTATGATGATGATGCGGATGAGGAGGATAAGGAGGATGATGCAAGATAGCAATCAGAAGACGAGCAGTAAACATCAGCATTTCATAACAGGATAGCAGGCGGGAGGACAGGGAAGAGGGGAGGAGTGACAAGGGAGGAGGATGCAGGAAGAGCAGGGCAGGCCGCGGCGGAGGGCCGAAGGCCTGGCGTACCCGACCGCCCCGACCGTGGGGCGGCAGGTACCCGCCGGCGCCAGGCGGTGGCCAGGGCGAGCTGGCGGCGGCCGGCGGCGGCTCCGCGCGGGAGGAGCCGCTGTCGTGGGCCGCCAAGGCCACCGACTCGCGCGGGGCGGGGGGCCTCTCGGAGGAGGAGAGGGCACCCATACGCCGCCATGCGCAGAGGGGGGTAGGTGGACGGGGGGAAGGCTTCTTAGAAGGCTTCTTCCGAGAAGGCGCGGGCCTTCTCCATGGATGCAAGGCCAGCGCCTTCAAGAAGTAGCCTTCTTCTGAGAAGCCTTCCCCCCTCACGTTGCGAACAAATCACGACGGGAGGTTTCTCGCTATTGCAGAGGCCTCACGGCCAGCGCCGCCGACCCTGAGCGACGACGACGACGACGACGACGACGGCGGCGGCGACGACGACGACGATGACGACGGCGACTACGACGAGCGCTCTCGGGGGCCTCTTGGGGGTAGTTTTGGGCCCTCATGTGAGGCTCTTGAGGGCCTCTTGGGAGCCTCCTGTGGGCCTCTTGGGCCTTGACGAGGTTCTCTTGGGGGCCTCTTGGGGCCGTTGGGGGGGGGCTTCTTGGGGGCATCTCAGGCCGAGGGCTCGAAATGTCCGTTCGAGCCCCCCGTCTGGGCTTCCTCTTGGAGCCATCTTGGGGGCCTCTTGGGTTTTCTTGGAGGCCTCGTGGGCGGTCTTGGGGCCCTCTTGGGTCGTTTTGGGGCCCTCTTGGAGGCCTCTTGGGCGATCTTGGGGGCCTTTTAGGCTGTCTTGGAGCGTCGGGAAGCCGACAAGGCGAGAACGCCAAAATGTTTCAAAAACGGAGGGAAATTCTTGAATTGTTGCCCCTGGGGGCCCTCTTGGGAGTGCTCTTGGAGGCCTCTTGGGGCGTTTTGACCACCTCTGGAGCCGTCTGGAGGCTACGGTAGGTTCGTGTCGTGTTGACCGGCGGCGACCCCGCCGCGGGCGTTCAACGTTGAACGCCGGCGGCGGCCAAGAATCGGCCGATGTTGAACGATCGTTCAAGGTTGAACGATCCCCGTAGTGTCAGTAACCAACGCCCGGGTCGACAAGACACGAACCTGCCGTACTTTGGCTTCTTGGACCGACAGTTCTGCGATTCGGGGCCCTCAGGGACCATCTTGGGGGCCTCTCGGGGCACTCTTGCCGCATTTTGGGGCTTGTCTGGGCCCCGGAGCCGCCTGGGACCCCCTCGGGACCCCCCCTGGGGCGGGGAGGGGATCAAGGGAAGGGGCTTCCCTTCGACTCAGCTACGACGTTGCTCAATGTCGGTTTGGCTGGCGCGGTTTGAGGAGGGAGGCCCAGGGAACGAAGACGGGGGATGACGGAGACGACGATTGACGGATACGACGAGGAGACGACGGAGACGCAGACGACGACGGAGACGACGACGGAGACGACGGAGACGCCACGACGACGACGACGAGACCAACGGAAGAGCGTCTTCCGCACGCCGACAGGGTCGGCGGATTTTCGGCCTCAAGGGGGGCCCTTCCCGGGCTCGGGACCATCAAAAAACGATTCAGGATGAAAAACCCGTCCTGGGGAAGGGGTCCAGACCTCTGGGGGGTCGACGTTGTGAACAGAATCACGACGTCGGGGGTCTGGAAACCGCGCAGGAAAAGGGCAGCGTGGGTCCTCAGTGGCAGTTCTACCCGATGCCTTCCAAAAGGCCGACTCTGGGCCAGCACGGCGAGACGTGCGGCGGACTGCAGCCCTTCCGCACAAGCGTCGCTCCGCTCGCCGCCCGAGCCACCCCATCCGCATCAGCGGGACTCAAAAGGTCCCCTGGCGCTTCCAAGATCGACGACCCCGATGGCTGGCTCGAGGGTGTGACACGACGCTCAACGCCATCTGCGCAGGCTGAGCACCGAGCAGTGCTGTCTAGGAGCAGGAGGCGGAGGAGGCCGAGGTGAGGAGGAAGAGGAAGAAGCGGAGGAGGAGGACCTATTTCGTAGAGCGAGGCGCAGGGCAGCCAGGTGTCTGAGAGTTGACAGCACCAAGAGGTAGGGTGTGGTTGGCTGGTGACTCTGCAAGACGATTATGACTGGATACCGTGGCTTGGTATGTAGTCTTCAAAGGCGCGTGCTTTCCAACTGTGCATGGCATGTGGAGAGACTCGGCGCCGCATAATCGCAATAGCGACTCGTTTTTATCATGCTCGCCAACATCCGAAGACGTTTAGTTCAATATTCAGGTGCAATTCACATAACCAGTTGCGCACACTAGCTAACAGCAGCCTTACAAAATAACACGGGCATTCGCTCGCCATGGGTTCGTCAGGCACGCCAGCGCGCCGCACTTCCGGGAACGCGAGGTCGCGCGTCGCTACCCCTAAACCGCAAAAGTCATCCAGCGATTCCAAGGCCGCCCTCTATAACATTGGCAATTTCAACGGGTCCAACATCCAGTACAGCGACTACGATGCGGGCACGGACTGCCAGTTCTCGGGGAGCACGACGATGCGCAAGCAGACCCGCCCGATCGGCGAGTTTGGGGGCAACCTCGGCTGCCTGTTTTGGACTTTCTACATCCCCATGCAGATCTGGTACTTTTACGGCATCAATGTTCTGGGGAAGGGCGAGTTACTCGTTCCGAATGGAAAATTCTGGTATGATTTGTATCGAAGACGCCCACGGCGAACCACCGCTGCCCCCTGCCTTTTGGACCCCCCCATGCGGCCGCCAAACGTTGGGCCAAAGCCTGGCGAAGCTACTTGACTATGTATTCCCTCAGCCGTTGTGGAACCTCTTTTGGGAAAACAATAGTGAGAGAGTGAGAGAGGATAATGAGAGGGAAGAACAGGATCATGACGATGCTGATGCTGATGCTGCTGATGATGATGATTCTGATGATGACGATTATGATGATGATGCTGCAGATGTTAATGCTGCTGCTGCTTGTGATGCTGATGATGATGACTATGAGGATGCTGATGAGGATGATGATGATGATTATGGTGGTGGTGATAGTGATGATGACGATTATGATGAAGATGACGATGATGATGGCGGTGATGGTGATATTGATGATAACGATATTGATGACGACGATGACGATGCCGATGACGATGACGATGCTGCTGCTGATGATGATGATGATGATGGTGACGATGCTGACGGTGATGGTAATGGTGATGGTGATGGTGATAGTGATGGTGATGGTGATGCTGATGGTGATGTTGATGGTGGTGATGATGCTGATGCTGATGCTGATGCCGCTGATGATGATGATGATGATGGTGGTGGTGAACATTATGATGACGGTGATGGTGATGGTGATGGTGATGGTGGTGATGATGATGACGATGATGTTGCTGCTGATGATGAGGCTCATGCTGATGACGATGCTGATGATGATGAGGATGATGACGATGCTGCTGATGATGATGATGCTGATGCTGATGATGATGATGCTGATGATGACGATGATGATGACGATGCTGCTGATGATTATGATGATGATGATAATGACGATGCTGATGATGATGGTGATGATGATGCTGATGATGACGATGTTGTTGATGATGATGATGATGATGAGGATGATGACGATGATGATGATGATGATGATGATGGTGATGATGATGATGATGATGATGATGCTGATGCTGATGCTGATGATGATGATGATGAGGATGATGCGGATGACGAGGATGATGAGGATGATGAGGATGATGATGATGATGCTGGTGATGATGATTATGCTGATGATGATGATGCTGATGATGATGATGATGATGATGATGGTGCTGATGATAATGATGATGATGATGATGATGATGATGATGATGATGATGATGATGATGATGATGATGATGATGATGATGATGATGATGTGATGCTGATGCTGATGCTGATGATGATGATGATGATGATGATGATGCTGAGATGCTGATGCTGAATGATGCTGATGCTGATGCTGATGATGATGATGATGATGATGATGATGATGAGGAGGAGGAGGAGGAGGAGGAGGAGGAGGGGAGGAGGAGGAGGAGGGAGGAGGAGGAGGAGGAGGAGGAGGAGCAGGAGGAGGAGGGAGGAGGAGGAGGAGGAGGAGGAGGAGGAGGAGGAGAAGAATCAGGAGGCGTCTTGAGGCCGTCTTCAGGGTTCCTGGGGGCTTCCTGGGAGCCTCTTGGGGGCCTCCGAGGGGCCTCCTGGGGCCTCTCGGGGGCCTCTTGGGGGCCTCTGGGGGCCTCCTGGGGGACTTCTTAGCTTTTGGAAGCTGTCTTTGGGGCCTCTCTTGGCAATCGTGTGGTCCCTTGACTCTTTGGGCGCTTTAGGGCCGCTTTGGAGGTCCGTGGGCCGTCTTGGAGGCCTTTCATCTTGGGTGCGCCGCCTTGGGGCCCTGTTGGGCCGTTTTGCGGGCCTTCTGGGGGCTTCCTGCGCCGTGTTGGGGTGATTTACGGGGCCTGGGGGGCCGTCTTGGGGAGTGGGAAGCAAGGCAATGCTGAAACGCTACGATCACTCAACCACATAAGTAGCATATTTTTTTTTGGCCCCTCGGATTTTTTTTGGCGTCTTCGGGGCCCCTTCGGCCGTCTTGGGGCCATCTTAGCCGTCTCGGAGACGTCTTGGGGCCATCTTCGAGGGTAATATATTGGTCCAGCTTGGCCGTCTTGGGAGGCCATCTCGGCCGTCTATGAGATGTTGTTTGTTCGTTTTCGGTTTTTGTGCGGCTCACCTGGTGGCCAGATTTTGAGGGTATGCCCCAAGGGCGGACGTAAGTTTGCCTGATACCGCTGCCGTCTTGGTTCAAGGCAGCGCCGCCCTGCTAGTCTAGGCGGCGTTGTCTGCACTTGATGTGCGGTGTTGGCTGGAGAAAAAGGCCGTTCTTTCCTCCTGCACCACACGGCTACTCGACATCCATGTACCATTTGCTTGGCTATTGACAGGTATATGTTGGAGCTACCCGCGGCCGCGGCAGTTCTGCTCACAACCGCCCGTGTACAAAGGCCGCTACCCGCGGGGCGATTACAACATGAGCAACAGGGTCAACTACGAGTTCGACCATTACGCGGCCCTGACACCAGCGCTACCACTGCGCCTACTCCTCATCTGCCCTGGCCATCGACGCGCGAAGAGACTCGACCGACGAGCTGAAGGCCTTCCTCTCCCCATCGGCACTCCGTCGGGCCAACGAGGGCCCTCGACCGCCACGAGGACGTCCGCGGCATCTACCACTGCGTCTTCGACTCCGCTTCCGTTCGCCTTCGCTCATTGGAGCGCGATCGACTCCCCGGTCGCCACCGCGTCTACCTCTACGTCCTTAACCACGATTTATTTTATTATGTCTCGTGGAGACACGAGTGACTCGCAACCCTCTGCAACGTTCACCACTGTCGCTTCGAATTCGACTTCGTCAATTTCGTGCGCGGTGGCGCGAACGACCCGTTCATCTCCGACCTGCAGGCTCGCCGAGTCGCGAATCTTTGGCGGCATGTGGACTATTGGCATTGGTTATTGGCGCCGTCGTCGGCCACGGGGGCCGAGGACGCGATGGGTGCCAAACGAGTGGAACCACGTGGGATCCAGCAGGCTCGGTACCTTATCGAGCGTGGATCAGGGAAGTCCATGCGCGGCCCGACGTCCATTCTAGGCGCATGACGCCTTCAACAGGCTGCTGCGTTGCAGCGTGAACTCCAGGGCTTAGCTGGGACTTGAGCCGTTATACTACCAGCAGTTATTGATTTCGGTGCACAAGGCAATGGTTTACGAACAGATCCTGCTACATATCCCCAATGCTATCTGGCGCAACGATTGGAGGACCTAGAGCTTCGGCATATATAATTTTGAAGTCATCGTGGCTACATGTGCGCGCGTTCTACGAATTGCTCCAGGTTCGTGGCGTCCTTCCGTCAACCGTTGACTGGCCTAATGCAGCGCGGCTGGCAGCAGCGCGATGATTGTTTGCAATGGTCGCGACGGCGACGACGCGTATCAGAACGAATGCCAGGGGATATTGCGCAATTTTTGCAAGGCGTTCGAGAGTTGATGCGCGCGTTGCGGAAACATTCTGACTGGCGAATCTCTTGGGGAGCAACGAGCCAACGAGTGGGGGCGCCTGCGCCAGGGTCATGGTCTACCCTGCTGGCCTGGGCGCCCCAGGAAACTGACCGCCCAGGCCGCGCGCGCAGCTCAGTCCCCGCCTCCAGCGACACTGGCAGCCGCCTTGTGAGGGAATCCGATTGAGGAGGGCGGCGGTGGCGCGGACTAGGCAAGAGCGCGCGGCAGATCGCGACCGTCGAGCATGGGTAGAGGACGCCGTCAGAACCTTATCGGCAAAGATGGCTGGATTTTGGAGTGTCAGAATCGCGGCTCGCCGCTTCGTCCTGCGCGTGATTGTCCTTCCACCGCGAGCTCGTGGGCGCGCGACCCGAAGTGGAAGGTCCCAAGTTCGAAGCGCTATTCTCGAGTCGTGCTGTTTTGCAGAAGAACTCGTCCATGGCACGCACTGCGAGAAATTGGGTGACAGCGGGCCTGATCCGGGCGCGTCATCTTCGCACCCGCGGGTCCCTGGCCCGACTCCATGCGAGAAGGGGCCCAATGCCATTCGCCTCAATTCTCCAGGCGCGTGGTTGCCTCGACGGCGCCCATGGGGCGCGATCCCGCGCGGCCACTGCCTACCGGACATGACGAAGGAATATCTCATTCAGTTAGGCGTGGAGGCATCGCAGCATCCAGCATATCTCTCACGCATGTGGCGCTGTGACATTCTGGCCGACGCCGCGCGTGCTTTCGCGCTGGCCCGACGACGGAATATTGCCATCGTGGAGGAAATTATGATTCGCATGGAGTAGTTTTGTTATTGGAGCAGGGCCGCTGTCATTTAGATTATCATAGTTCATGCGCAGATGGGGGCGGCGATGGCGTTCAATCGAGACGCGAGTGGGTTCGCGCTGCAGAGGGGCTTCGAGCTGATTCGCATTATAATCCTCACGGCGATCCATATGCACGACGCATCATCAGGCTCGCGGCCTGGCCGCGGGGTGCGCTGGACACGCTGGGCCTTGCCCGGGAGGTATGCGGTTGATATCGGAACGTGTCGCGAACCCTCGGATATGCCGGGGGCCCACGTGTCGTCGCTGAACATGATCCAGAAGAGGGCCCCCTTTGGATCCATGCGCGAGTTCCGCGCGGCAATGGGCATCTTATCTGTTTGCGACCGCAATCTCAGCGGTGGCCCACCAGCTTCAATTGCGTCGCGCACAGAGGTTTCCTGCGTCGACGGCGCCGACGGCGCAGAGGATTGCCGGGGCGCTCAGCAGACGCCGCGCAGTTCTCAACGAGACCCGGCTCTGGAGACAGACCCGGCATGGGCGCGGCGAGAGGGCGGGGGTGCTCAGAGCGTCTTGCGGGATCTTCAATTCCCACCCGCCGAGGGGCGCATGCGGCCCCGGGCCGCGTCCAGAGCGCCCCGCGGCGCAGGCCCGAAGTGTATGCCATGGGTGGATGCGCCGGGGCTGTAACGCCTACAATGATGATGCATTCCCTACTTGCCCTGCGCGCCATCGACCTAATCCTCGAAGGCTGGTTCCAGGAGTATGCCAGTCCGTACATATATATATATTCAGCAATATGTTTGTTTGAATTTATATGTATATGTACATATGTATAT